TGCGGGCCTGAATTATGCTGAGAAACACGGAGATACCATTGGTACAAGTTCAGTGGCAGCATCGGAAGGGGTCCGAGCTGACATGGAAGTCAGAGTCAGAGATGCGGGAGCAGCATCCAGAGTTTTTTTCGGTATAAGACTTCAAGGGCGAAGTCTGGTTCTAGTGGGGGAGAATTGTAACATCCCAAAATTCAGGTTCGACCATTTAACCCTTCTTCTTTTCCAAGTTGTCATGTAAGGTCCCTTATGAGAATGCTAAGCTTGTGAGTACGTTGGGCGTACTAAGGAGTACGTTGCGCGTACTCGCGCGCTTAATTTGTATGTGGATTCATCCGGGTACGCTAGGCGTATGCAAGGTTACGCCGGGCGTAACCGGCCCAGATGCAAAACCCTAATAAGACTTGAGGGCTATAAAAGGAATGAGATGGTCTTGTCTCTCAACCACCATCTCACAGAAAGAAACCCTAAGAGTGTTCTCCCTTCGTCCTTAGCTTGTGTGTGAGTGTTCTAAGCTTCAAAGTGTCATTTCAAGGTGGTGAAAAAGAAGAGGAGGCCATTGTAGGAGCTAGAAGTTGGTGGATAAGAGTGGATCTGAGGTTTTCAGAGGTTGGAGCTTCTTCCTGAGGTATAAAGTTCATAACTTGCCTTGTTATTTGTGTTGCGTGCTTCTTGGACCAAAATCTAGGGTTTAAGGTCCCAATATGGAGACTTTATGAGCAAATAGTCCCCATTGGCCTAGATCTATCATATTCCAGGACTATATGAGTTGTATGTTCATAAAAATGCAATCTTGGACGTAAATGTTGGACCATGCATGAGATCTAGACTTTTGGAGGAAAAAGGAAAGGTGTTAGAAGGTGTGGGAACATTTATAGAGATGAAAAGGCTTAAAGGTTTCGACTTTATGGATTAAGAGGTATTAGAATGGCCAGATCTGGAATGTGAGATTATGTCTTAACTGTTTAAGACACTAAAATGAAGAAAGTAAGAAACTGGGATTTACGTTGGGCGTAATCCCAGTACGCACCGCGTAGGGGGTCGCGTTCCCCATTTCTGGAGTGAAAGGGTACTCCCCGCGTACAGGAGTTGGTATGCCCCGTGTACTGCTTGCTTTTGACTTTTGTTGACATTTAGGGTTTTAGTCAACATGTGGACTTTTGAGTCAGGGAGGGGTAAAATGGTCTTTTACCCTTCTGTGAAATTGTAGAAAGGAATGTAGTATAGCCTTGAGAGTCGTTAATGATTTGGAATGATTACTTGATGTGATTTGGCGAGGCTAGGTCGTTGTTTCGAGATTCAGAGATATCGAGCACGTGAGACACTAGACATCATACGAGGTGAGTCTTCTCACTATACTGTACCTGGAAGGGTACCTATGTGTGACTGGAAGGTCTAGTATGTTATAAGATATATGCATTGTATGCTATTAGTTGCCTGTTTTGTATGCGTTACGTATGCTATGCTTGATATGGGGCGGAAGACATTATGATGTAGACCGAAAGGTCAGGGAGTTATGGACCGGAAGGTCGACATGGGTAGAACGGGAAGGTTTACCTGGTTGGGACGGAAGTCCCCTGAGACACATGGACTGGAAGGTCATGGCCTGGAAGGGCGTATGTGTGTAAGTGGTATATTGGGGAACTCACTAAGCATTTATGCTTACAGTTGTTGTGTTATGTGTTTCAGGTACTAGCGAGGACCGTAGGAAGGCGCCGACATGACCCGTACACACACACAGGCGGATTCAGATATATTTGATCTTGAGATTTGATATGTTTTGTATTATGACCATGTTACATTGGATTTTATGGTTTGCCTTGAATGAAATTATGTTTTAAAGAAATGAAAATTTGTTTTGAAAATTTACGTTGTTACATATGTGTTGATATAAATTTGAGTTCGTCTACATTTCGACGTGATTTTTTTTATATTTTAATGCTTATTTTTATGTACGTGCTTATTTGTTTTTCGTTCGTGCTTATTTATATTACGTTTCGACATGTTGACGATTGTATTGATAAAAGTTACATCGAAACGTAAAAAAAATAAGCACAAACAAAAAATAATGAGGCTAAGAGTCATAACATCAGTTAAGCGTGTTATAGAATCAAAGATGTATTCCAAAATTAATATAGAAAAATGTATGTTTATTCCAAGAATATCAATGACGTTTTCGAATGAAATGATTATTTTCACATTTCAAAGAAGACAATATCCACTGATTGTATATGAGGGTTGTTTTTTAGACATCTAGTTTTCAGTCATAGGCAGTTATATATTGCATTGTCCAGAGTTAAAAACAAATTTTAAATAAAAAAAAAAAGTTAACTTTAAACAATAACCGTAAACTTAGCAATATAACATACAACGTTGTATTCAAAGAAATTTCTGAAAATTTGTAACAATTATTTACGATATATCAATAGTTTTCTTATTAGTATAATTCAATTATCCACTTATTCACGTTTTATTGTATTTATTTTGAAAACTTATTTTAAATCATATTTAATTTTTACTCTTTAAAAATATTTAATATATATACATTATAAGATTAAATTACTTATTTATTCATCATTTCATTTGTATTTATTTTAAAATTTTACTTTAAGAATATATATATATATATATATATATATATATATATATATATATATATATATATCATATATTTAATTTTTTTAATCAATAATATAATACACAAATCTCAGTAATCCTTATATAAATCTAACTGCATGATTACTTGGATTATTGAATATAAAACTTTCACACTTTTAAAGGCATCTCATAAGTTATGAATTGTATATTTAACAGAATTTAAATTTTAAAATATTAATATAAAAGTCTATATCATAAATGAAATATATCAAATAAAGTTAGAGTGTGCTTTCATTTGTCATTTTCTTTTTCCAAGCGTATACACTTTGTCTTATCTTAATCTCAAACATATAAAAAAAAGTCTCGTAATGGACAACTAAACAAATAATATAGGAAATTGAATAATCTAACCAACTTTATAAGTGTTTTTTTAAACAAAATAATACATTTTATAAATTTTTGCAAAATAACCACATAACCCATAACATTGGATTATGGACCCGTTTTAAATCGGGTTACTTATATTATTCATTTGGTTTGTTACTGTGGTCTATATATATATATATATATATATATATATATATATATATATATATATATATATATATATATATATATATACACACACAGAGAGAGAGAAAAAAAAAAGTCAAGATCAAATAAGAAGGAAATTTTTGGTAGGAAGGTAAGAAGTTTTTTTTTCTACATATTTTTTTCACGAACAAACAAAACTAGAGGGGAATCATGTGCGCCGTTGGCGCTGTGTTATTTTTTTTTCTTTTGGCAGCAAAAACCTCCTCTGTCCACATTTCGCCATCTCTGTTTCCTCTTTAGGTATGTATTGTAACTCGTCTTACCTAAGAACACATAACTATAGTTTTTTATATCATTTGTAGCAAATGAATACAAAAGGTGTTGCACCTGTTGTGATGGAGCCTTCCATCTACTATCACTTAAAGTTTTCCCAACCTGAAACAGTTAAACAATCACAAAGCTTTAAATATTGTCACATGATTAGTAAGAATGAGATTGTATTCAGTTTGTAGGTATAAGAAACCGAATATAAAAATTACACCAGAAACCAAAAAACATAACAAAAATGGAACCAATGAGTAACAACTTGTAGTGAGTTAACTGTTATTTCTTTAAAGAAATGATCCATAAAATGATTAAATTTCTATAATCTCAATTTAAATTATTCCCAAATCTGCATTATTATGGTATTTGCACTTTAGTAGTTGTATGAAATATGCATTTTAATACCCCAATTCCAATGTAGAAAGTAAACTAATAGCAGAGATGTAAGAAGGCTTTGGAATGGGAATATTGTAGATCTTTTAAAAATGGTTTGTTAATGTCTATTGGGAAGCTGGAATCTTCAAAGAATAGTTTCATGACGTGTTCTTTGACATATGATGATGTGTCAGAGCCACCACGTCCATCAAAATCACCTTGTTGTGGGTTAGAACTCCACCAATCAACTTAAAATAATAAATCAACATTTTGCCAAAACAAAAAAAGATTCTCACTCCATCATCCACTGCAATAGGTCTTCCAAGGCAATCCAACTCAGCTTCCATCTCCTTAAAACCATTATTTATCATGGAAATAATTCCCGGTATTCTTAACCAATATGCTCATAATTCATAAAGTTAAAAACAAACAACACGTAAGTTAAAATAGGAAAAAAGAGAAAAGAAAAAAAAAACTCACATCTATGCATTAGTTCCTTTGTCTATGAGATCAACCTTGGTCAACACACCAAAGCTCCTTTCACCACTTTTGCTCCCTCTAGCACCTCTTGCACCTAACAACATTCAATGAAACAAAACCCGATATAAATTATCTATCAACAAAAAAAAAAGTAAAATAGTAGATATTAAGAGCCTGTTTGATAACCTCTGAATGGAACCATTCAGTGGTAACCTCTAAATATACCTGCTCTTGAATGCTCTCCTCATCATACTCTTGTGCGTGTTTTTTGAACTCAACAACAGAGTTCTCAACCTCTTTCACAAGCTCATCCGTTGAAAACTGTAAAAAATAATATTTTTTTTAGTAAATGTAAAAATCATATGATTCTACAATTGTATTTTTTTTTTTAAATGTACCTCTATATTTTCGTGTTTAAAAATGTCTCTCCAACTGCAACATTCTGCTTGATTACATTTTCTATATTCTCCCTTTGATTTTCCAAGTGCTCTCTCACAGCTTTTGGGCTCGAAAGCATCGCCAACTGTTATTCATTTAGTTTCATGTTTTCCTAAAAAATTAAATATTTAATTAAAAACTTTATAAAAAAATGTCTCAAATTTAATCAAATGTGTAACATATATTTGTTACTAAACCTGTATTTGTAATATTCTACCTCCATAAAGCTGTCTTCCTTGCTCTTCAAACAAAAATTATGGGATTTCAACTTGAATCATCTGGACACAGGTTTCAATAAATTATTTTGATTAAACAAAAAAGAAAAAAGGAAAAAGTAAACTACAACTTTAGTCCATGTGGTTTGTCAAAAGGTACAGTTTTCATCTAGATGTTTCAGTTGTTGCACAAGCGGTATCTAAACTCTAAAGCAATTCTTTATTGCATAATTTCACAGAGCATCCATTAAATCCATTGAAAATTACCATTTTACCCCTATGTAAATACCTTTCGAAGCTGATCAGGTATTGCATTATCTGTTGCTTGATCTTTAGCTGTTTGCTCAAGTTCCACAAACCTCTCCAACAATGACTTCCTAACCAAAAAAACATAAGTAAACAACATTTAGTCAAAAGCACAAATAAAATTGTGTAAAAAGTCAAAACATGATTAATAGACAAAGTTTATAACTTGATCGATAGTGGTGCATCCAGTAAGAAGCTTATCAGCAATGGAGTCATTCATCTCTGGTAATTTTCTATAGAAGAGTTCTTTACATTCAACCTACTGATACATTTGCAAGAAAATTAATATTTGTGTAGATTATTAACAGAATTTGTAAGAGGAGGGGGCTTACTGTACATTGACAAGGAAGGCTACGTAGATCTTGTTGTTTCCATGAATCTGGAAATGTATGTGAGAAAGATTTTGTTTCACCTCCTTGAATTCCAATTATGGCATCAAGAAAACCAGGAATAACTCTATCTCTATCTTTTGTATCAAATTGGAAACCTGCAAATCCAACCAAACATTATAATGGAATGTAATGAAACATTCCATTCCATTCATTTTAATTCCATTCGCTTGTGATTCCATTCCATCATACCTTTACTCTCTGCAGCTGGAACATTTTTCACTTCTGATCCTTCTTGTTCCACAGAAAGTAAACATACTTTACTACTTTTGAAGGTTAGGGTTGAAACCGTATTGTCTGATGTACACATCGCTTCAATAATCTCCATGTGATTTTAAACTAAAATAAAGAGACAAAAAAAAATGGTATTTGGTTAAAGAATGTATCATCACCAAACATGTATATACATTTTCAAATTCTAAATTTGGGAAACCGAATCATGTGGAAGGTTTGAGAGGTTTTCTTTTCTTGAGAGCCTGGCCATTTGGGCATTCGATAGCATTGCTGAACAAAATTAATGTGTTCAGAACATGGTGTGTATGGTGCATTTTGACCTGTGTTAAAAATACCTGATAAAGTTAGTGAGAATCTATCGAATCCGTAGGACATCACCAATAATCTGAAATTGTTTAACAAATGTTAACATAATTTTTTTTTGTAGGAAATTGTACCAATATTATAGACTAAACCTCCAATGGGACATCATATGGTACGTGTCCTTCCAAAATCAACATCTTTTTCAACGATGCAGCTGCAGTTTGAAGAACATGCTTGATTACTTCTCTAGGCCTAAATTTTGTAGCCTCCAGCTTCATAACTCCTGAAAAAAATCGTAAATTTTACATGCTACAAAGTATAAAAATGGGGTTTGAACATTAATCTATTAAAAATAGCAATTATAAATGGATGAAAAATAACCTGACCCGAATTTGGAAAGGTGAAGAATGTCATTTATAAGTTGAAGAACTAAATCACCAGAAGATAACATAACACCCAAGAGTTGGTTCTAATCCTTATCGACTTTTGTAGTTGATAAAATCTCTGCCATGCTAACGACCCCAGATAATGGAGATCTTATCTAATGTGACATGGTTGCCAACAATTGTTTTGTTGTCATTGTTTCCTCTAAAAGAAATTGATTCAAGCAAAATGCTCAACAAACCATTTTTATATAAAAAAATAAAATAAAATTTATAAGGTTTAAGAGAAGAAAAGCTTACCAACCTGTAATATGAATAGTTTTGTTAACTTCTGTCTCTTTAGCCTTCTACACGGCTATTTCTTCCCAGAGTTTTGCCATATTTTCTCTCCTTTTTATCTATCACATGATAAAAAAAAATGTCAAACTATAAAACTAAAGTGGGTAGATTTTTATAAGTACAATGTTGTTAATAAGAAGATGCTATAAGAAACAAATGAAAGAAAGTACCTGATCAGTGATTTCCATGCCCATGTAATTTACACCAATTTTCTCTCCATCTTCGCTGAAAACGGGTTCAACATATATTAAAAATCTTTTGGCACCAAATAATTCCGTATCACAAGTTATTTTCCCTTTTCCTGGTAATCCTTTTTCAAGAACTTCTCTTTTGAAGTATTGGGATTCCTTTACAGCGCCACCTTTGAATATTTCTACATCTGTTTTCCCAATTATACCATGTGCGTAGTGTTAGGGAAAAAAAGACATGGTTCAAAAATATTCTATTAACTTACAACAAATATTAACTTTGATGATCATCAAAATACCTCTTGTCGTAAACTTGGAAAATGATTAAAAATGAAGCGATATCACACCTCGTTCATTAACTTTAAATTAAAATGGATTTATCAGTCATCAATGGATCTCCTAAAAGTAGTTCATCATTTGCGGATATTAAAAAAGAAAATAAGTTGAATTGGAAGAAACAAACTCAAGGTCACCTGAAAAAGTAATTAAGTTAGAGAGAATATGATTGAAGTTCGGTGAGACATATTAACAAACACTTGGTATGCAAATTTTGTAATTTTTCATTTTCTGGCCATTTGAGATGGTGTCTGGCGCATTTTTCCATGGCTTCTATGAATTTCCATGTGACCTGACAAACTGTTGATTGTCCAACATTGAATGATGCTCCTACTGAAACTTGAGATTCACCAGATGCTAATCTTCTTAAAGCGATTGCAACTTGTTTTTCGACACTGAGAAGTCTTCCTTCGATGATGTTGATGAGTCAGACGAAAATTGGAAGTCGCAAACCCAGAGGAACAACACCCTGGATCATCACATACGCGTGTTATGTATACCTAGGCATGAAGAAGTGGAAGAAGCGATGGTGATTCGACTGATTGAACCATATGGTGAACAAACCGATTTCTAGGGCTCAGATCGACTATTACCTGTTTCTTGAAACCAAATAATTAAACCCGCAGATAGACAATACCTAAAGAGGAATAGAGACGGAAAGCAGCAGAAACAGACAGAGAAGAGACGTTAAGAAGAACAGAGAGGCCAAAATGAAATTAGTTCTCATTCTACACCGCCATATGTTTTTCCGAGTCTTATGTTTTGTTTTTTATTGTACCGCCCTTCTCCTCCAATAAAATTATCCACCGCCATTCACTGATTGGAAGAAAAAGGCGGCAACCAACGCAAAGGAGAAGAAGATAAGCACAAAGAAAAAGAAGCAAATCAGCAAGTAAAATCCAAAACACCGTGGAGAAGAAGATAAGGACGAAGGAAACTAAACTATTGAGCAGGTAAAACCGTGCGAAAATGAAAAAGAAAAAGACTTCTGTGGCCAAATAAGAAATAGAAAAAAGTTTACTGTTCCCCAACCTTTTAAGCTTTTATGTATATACTAATGATTCATTAGATGATTCATTTGTAAGATGATTCACAAGAAAAAATTCTCAAAAAAGCATCTCGATAATTCATTTATATAATGATTTTGTTGTTATTCACTAAAATTGTCATAAAAGTGAATTTTTTCTTAATTTACTTAAAAATAAATCATAAAGATGTTTTTTTGATAATTTTTTCTTGTGAATCATCTTACAAATGAATCATCTAGTGATTTATTTTTTTTTGTTCGTCAAAAAAATATGTAGAAAAAAAAACTTCTTACCTTCCTACCAAAAAAAATTTCTTACCGGATATATATATATATATATATATATATATATATATATATATATATATATATATATATATATATATATATATATATATATCATACAAACTTATAAAGCTAGCATTTTTTCTTGAATATCATGCATTTGAAACCCCCATTTTTTTTTTCCTTTCACCACATTTATTTGAAACTCCCATGACTTTTCAATTTCTTTATAATAATAATTATAATTTGGTAATTAAGTTAAATAAATATCAAATCTAAAGTGTATTCATATATAAGCTAAATTTTAATATTAAAATAATATCTTTAATTCTGCTTATAAAATTTTGTTTTTTAACATTTAACATATTATACTTAATTTATTAGTTATAATATATTGTTGGATGTAAACCATTATCATTTTAAAGGTATAATTTTTGAACAATTTATATAAAATACTTAAATTATTAATTAACATATAACATTATAGACTCAACTTGAATATAAATTGTATTTAACTTCAACAAACCAAAGATTATTTTATAAATAGTTAAAAGTGATAAATTGTAGTGTCTTTCTAATAATGATTGTAAGTTGGTTAACAAGGTTAAATAAATATCAAGCCTAAAGTGTAATCATAAATAGACTAAATTTTAATTTTAAAATAACATCTTTACTTCTATTTATAAAGTTATGTTTTTAAATTTTAACATATTATACTTAATATATTAGATTTAAAATGTTGTTGCATGTAAACCATTATCAGTTTAAAGCTATAATTTTTGAACAGTTTGGACAAAATATTTAAATTGTTAATTTAAATATAACATTACATTGTCAACTTAAATATAAATTTCAGTTCCACTAAAAAAACCAAATAATATTTTATAAATAGTTAAAAGTAGGGCTGTAAACGAACTGAACGTTCGGCGAACCGTTCGTGAACTGTTCGGCGGGAAGTTCGTTTATGTTCGTTTATTTAATAAATGAACAAACATGAACAAAAATTATCGTTCGTTTAGTTAAATGAACGAACATGAACAATGGTCTCGTTCGTTCATTTATGTTTGTGAACGTTCGTTTACGATGTTCATTTATGTTCATTCGTTTAAGTTTATTTATATTCATCTATATTCAATTATTTTTTATTATATTGCTATATTATATGTTCGTTTATGTTCATATATGTTTAATTGTGTGTGTGTGTGTGTGTTTTTTTAATCTTTGTTCGTTTATGTTCGTTTAGCATGTTCACGAACATAAATGAACGAACATGAACAAAGTAATTTGTTAAATGAACGAACATGAACAAGAAAATCTCGTTCGTTTATCCGTTTGTGTTCGTTTGTTGTTCGGCTAACTTAAACGAACGAACATGAACAGGACCTTGTTCGTGTTCGTTTGGTTCGTTTACAGCCCTAGTTAAAAGTGATAAATTATAGTGATAAATGCAAAACTAAATTGTAATATCAGTTTAACTAAAATATTTCCTAAATATATTTATATAATTGTTAAAAAATTTCAAATAAGTAGCTTAAAATTACTTATAATAACAATAGTTAAAATAACTCTATTTAAATGATTATATTGTTACCTTTAAAATCAAAAAATAATGTTTGATGGTTTAAAAAATTATAATGATAGAAATTAAAACATTAAGCAAATAAATTTTAAAAAATTAGTTAAAAATAACAACTATAAATAATAATAAACCATATATAATATTTAATTTTATTGATGTGTAACTCATGAGTAAAACTCATTTAAACGATTGAGATTATGGTGTTATAATAGATTTATATATTATCATATAATTCAAAATAATCAATATATTATATCAAATTAATATACGAATTATTATATCAAATTTAACAAAAAACGTTAGTGTTATATTTTAAAAAATATATATTTGTAAAGACTTCAACTATATAGGTGTTTCTGCGCATTACAATGTCAACTCAAATATAAATTTAAGTTTCATTTGAAAAAAAGTAAAGAATATTTTGTAAATAGTTAAAAATGATAAATTGTAGTGATAAAAGCAAAAACTAATTGTAATGTCAATTTAACTAAAATATTTCTTAAATATATTTTTATAATCGTTAAAAGTTTCCAAATCAGTAGCTTAAAATAATTTACAATAACAATAGTTAAAAACAACTCTATATAAATGATTATATTGTTAGCTTTAAAATAAAAAACAATGTTTGATGTTTTAAATGGTTATAATGATAGAAATTAAAACATTAAGCAAATAAATTTTAAAAAATTAATTAACAATAAAAACAACTATAAATAATATCAAATCATATATTATATTTAATTTTATTCATATGTAACTCGCGGGTAGAAGTCATTCAAACGATTGAGATTATGAAGTTATAATAAATGTATATATTATCATATAATTCAAAATAATCAATATATTATATCAATTTAGTATATACAAATTATTATATCAATTTTAACAACAACGTTATTGTTATATTTAAAAAATCATATATTTGTAAATACTTCAACTATATAGGCGTTTCTGCGCAACGCGCGGGTATTTGCATTGTGTGTGTGTGTGTGTGTGTGTGTGTGTGTATATATATATATATATATATATATATATATATGGTGAGATGGGTTGAGAACTCATGGTTTTCCGAGAACCCGAAAAATAAAAGTGAAATGTTAGATCAAAACTAATTCATTAAGGGCATGATCATAATCATATCAATCTCATTTAATTTTTATTTTTTTGTGTTATTGGAAATATTAATAGAAATGTCTAAAAATTTACATAATTAATCAAATTTTCGAATTTAAAAAATATATATATATATTTTTTAAAGGCAGAATTTCATATATGTCATTGCTAAACATCTAAATATTGTATTTGCCCGGCCTAAACTCTAAATATCATATTTGCCCTTCTTAATGTTTTTTAATATCATATATACCCAAATCTATTTTTTTATAATTTTTATTAATTTATAACTCTTTTTTATAATCTTAAATCGTTATAATTTAAAAAACAATATGAATGGACAATAATGCCCTTAGCTCTAAGTTCCAATACATATCATGTTGCCTTGAAATTACTTACAATCGCATGCTTCCCTATCTAACGTTTTGGTAGCCTTCTAACAATTCTGATCGCAACACATCACAACTTCCAAACGCCTCTATTATCACACACACGCATAACCACATCAGATAATATTGACTTTAACCTATTCCTATTTTCTATCTCTTTAATTTCGTTTATGTTGATTTCATTGTTGCTGATTAAATTGTGTCACACCCCCGAACCAGATGACGGAAACGTCCGAGGGCTCTTGTGACTTAAATTGAATACCATCACAATGAATATACATGAATCATAACATAAATCATCACCATGCATGAAAATAATACAACTGATATTGTTTACATCCAGTACTTTGTCTTAAACATTACAAATTCATAACATAATCGTCTGATAGATATCATACGCAAAACACCCTAACATTACTTGGTACTTATTCTTCAGTTTACCTGTTACCTGAGCCTTAACGCCCCTTCCTGTTGTTGTTCTTTCCCTTTTTGTTGTCATTTTCCTTCTTACCATCAGCCTCCACTGGCTTCTCACCCTTCTTGTTGTTGTGGTCATACAATTTCTTGGCCAATCTCTTGGCACTGTCGAAAGTTTTGGGGTTTGCAGCTATCACGTTTCCTTGGATCGGAGAGGTTAGTCCCCAAATGAATCGCACGATCTTCTTTCTTTCTGAGGTGATCATGCCAGGGCACAGCAGAGATAGTTTGCTAAACCTTGATATGTATGCATCTATATCAGCGTTTCGAACGGTGAGATTCCACAACTCTTGTTCCATTTTCTGAATTTCTCCACGAGGGTAGTACTCGGCCATCAACATTTCTTTCATCTCTGCCCATGGCATCGAATTGGCTACGGGGAGTGTCATGGCTTCCACGTATCCGTTCCACCAAGTGAGTGCTTGGTCAACGAAAGTGCATGCGGCAAACTTCACCTTCATCTCATCAGGGCAATCACATATCTCGAACACCGATTCCACCTTCTCGATCAATCGTTTCAGGGTAATCATTCCTCCAGTGTCGCTAAAGGTTTGTGGTTTGGCATTGGTGAAATCTTTGTAGGAGCATGTTTTGGTAGGTCCTTGATTCATCCCGTTGTTTGAACTTCCATCCCTTTGTCCGTTGACTCCTCCATTGTTCCCCTGGTGAATTCGTGCCATCGTTGTGGTGACCACAACAGATAAAGCTGCTTGGAATGCAGCTGAGTCGACTTCGGGTGGGGTTGGCCCAAGGTTTCCGCGGTTGGGTCGTTGAGTCATCTTTCTGTCATGGAACAGAAAGATGTTGAGTGTCTGTGCTTTTGTGAGGTTGTGATCCTATAAACTAGGTGTGTAGCACAAACTTAAGTAATTTCACACTTAGCACACAATCATGGATATGTAACACATAGCAGATTGAAACATCACAGTAAACATATAGATTT